CAGTACATCATACCTTGGGAACAGATTCAAAACTGCCCTCCTCAGATTCAAAATGGTTTCTCTCGTACGAAACGATTTCTGAAAGAAAATCAGGCAAAAGTATTGATTATATTAGTTGTTTCCTGGGGGGAGGGGTAGTGTAGGTTCCATAACGTTAGCATTTTATTTCGTATCGCTTCGCGTTGTCTACCTGTGTAATTTGCAGACGTGATTTCCATCCTTCCACCATGTGCGGCTTATCATCGGTCACGTGGTCTGAAGAGCCTTGGAAGACGACACCTACACAGCTTTCTAGTTCTCTCAACATATGAAGCCTAGAGATTAAAAAAAACAATTACAGTGATATCTTTATTCAGAAAACACCCTTTATTAAGCGGAAGCCTTTCACAATAAACGGACACCTAGTTGCACGTCTCAAGATTTTCTTCTCATATTTGCTATAAACTAAACCTTTGTGAATATTGAATGGGTAGAACTGTGGTGAAATAATGATAGATGTGTTGATCAACACATCTATCAAACTAAACCTTTATTAAGCGGACACCAGGCAAGGTCTCGAAGGTGTCCACTTAGGTACCCCTGTAGTGTGAAAGACATGGCCACGGTACCGACTTAACGACCCGATAAACGAACTAACGATCAAACAAATTATTAGCATTATAGTGCGAAAGGAAATATAGGAGATTACCACTATCGAGAAGTATTTCCAAAGATCGGGGCACGAGCCTGGCGGGAATCGAGCCCGGGTCACATTGGTGAGAGGCCGCACATTAGCAGCGTGCGCCACCTGTGCTTCCCATAAATACAATGTCTGTGGACTGCTCTTCGAGCCGGAAATGTTTTTAAGTCCTTTTTAGTCAGGGCACGTCATGTTAACTTACATTGCAACACACAGAGACATTCCCCTCCTTGTGGATGTATTTACCTTGCTATGTACTCGTAWCCTCGCTGGTAGGCACCAGACTCCATACTAGCTGCTGATAATGGACCCATTTGTTGACTGCGAACRACGCGCAAATGACGATTGAACGAGTCTTCATCCTGAAATAATACGTTATTATAATATTATCTTTAAAAAGTGCTTTAGCTAGTTTAGAGCTTGTTTTTAGAGGTGATAAGAGTTCTAAACAGCTTGCAGTAAACACTTGTGCATCAATCCTTAGGTAATCCTTACAGGAACGTGGGCTCTGGGTAAGAGATTGTAATAATCCTCTTCTCTGAAGCCCCCTCCCTCCCCCTCCCTATAAAAAAATCGTACCTTCCCTTCAACTATAATTTACTTTTTTACCTTGTAGAGATTGTAATAATCCTCTCCTCTGAAGCCCCCCTCCCTCCCCCTCCCTATAAAAAAAATCGTACCTTCCCTTCAACTATAATTTACTTTTTTTACCTTGTAGAGATTGTAATAATCCTCTCTTCTGAAGCCCCCCTCCCTCCCCCTCCCTATGAAAAAATCGTACCTTCCCTTCAACTATAATTTACTTTTTTTACCTTGTAGAGATTGTAATAATCCTCTCCTCTGAAGCCCCCCTCTCAATAAAAAAGTACATTCCCTTCAACTATAATTTAGCTTTTTTACCTTTTGTTTGGCTGCCAGCAAAATACGGCCCAGCCCGATGTTCCAGTCTCCTCTTCCTCGTTCCTGCAAAACAGAAATAAAACAAAACTGGAGCCGAGACAAGAGAAAAAAGACCWAACAGTTGCTTTTTCAAACTTTGAATGCGTCCCAGGACTAATTCTTCTGGGGAGTATCGTGATCCCGCGCTCTTTGATTTGATCACTAAAAACGAAACGGAAATAGCGCACGCGTGCAAGTTAATGATGCACGGGAGTAGGGTAAAGCGAAATTTAAACTGCATCCGCTTACTAAAAATAGCCAACCGGGAATTTACATGGCGCACGCGTTATTGAAAAGTTTCCCTCTGTTATTTATGCTCTCTTGTTGGGACTCAAATCTTCCCAGATATGCGGGTCTCGGTACAGATTGGGAAATCCTAGGGTTCCTTTCGGAATCCGCTCATTATCATAAGATACTAACCAGTTTCAATAAACCTTCCAAGGAATCCCATTGTCCAAGTTTCCACGCTGCTTCAACACGAAATGTGTTTAACGAGCTCTTCCATTCTTGCCTAAGAAGACAAAAATTTACTTTAAAATGTTCAAACAAGAACTGAATAAGGGTAAATKGTTTGAACCCAGGTGTTGAAGTTGACGATCACATTTCACATGTAAGAACTATATGTAATAACTAAGTAGTTACGCTCTCTAGAGGCAAGGGTTTGGGAAAGGAAAGAAAGGGACGGGTCTTTAACACAATATATATGACTTTATTTGTGACAATATGACTTTGATTCCTTTTATTTCTCTCCAATTTTCTTGCAGTCCTCTTCCTTCATTTCCATTATTTTCCCTTCCCTTAGCTTGCCATTCCTTCGCTTCCCATCTATTTTCTCTCCCATAAGGTGGCAAGTCCAAAAACGTAGTACACATTATATTATTATTACACACGTTAAAAGGTCAACACTAAGTTTTTTGGTTTAATCGTTTTTGGTGTGACAGACGTTGGACAAGGTTGATAATTAGATATGGTTTTAACAGACACTCACCGTTGAGAAATGACACCATTGGCATGCATCAGTGCAGTGGTTTCTTGACCAAGACCCATCATACAGTTCAGTAATCCCTGATATGAAAATACCATCAGCACCCTCATTACCATCAGATAAACATCATCTGCATCGTCATCATTAACGCCATAATCATCATCATTATAATCATCCTTAGCTATCATTATCATCGCCACCATCATTTTCAACAACGTCGCCATCACCATCCTTACCATGCACGAACATCATTATAACTACCACAAACTCTAGCTTTCTTCACAGCCTAAAACGTCAAGGTATCTTGTGACGATCGACTTTATTGCATTACCACCATCTTCATCACCACCATCGTCATCTTAAATTAAACACCATCTTCATTACCACCATCACCATCACCACCATCACCATCCTCATCACCACCATCACCATCACCATCATCGTCATCACCACCATCGTCATCATCACCATCGTCACCATAAACACTGGCTTTCTTCGCATCTTAAAACATCAAACTACCTTCTTCATCACCACCATCTTCATCGCCACCATCATCATCATTATCATCATCTTCATCATTACCATCGTCACCACGAAAACTGGCTTTCTTCACAAACTAAAACATCAAACTACCTTGTGATGATCGACTTCATTGGGTTCCTCTTGGATGGCTTTTTCATAACACGCTGACGCATCACGAAGCTTTCCTGAAACAAAATCCAAAAACCCCTTAAAATAACTAAAACCTAAGTACACATATCGCTTCTTAGCCCCTAGCTTGCCTCCTCGTTTTACCCAATGTATCTTACCTGATATTTCATGCTCGAGTATCTGTTGGTGTAGCGTYACCTGGTGATTTCTTATCGCAGCCACACCCACTACCCCATCGGGTTCACCCAAGGCCACGTAGATTTTCTGCAGGAATCCAAGGTGCTGCTGTTTGTCTTGCTTCTCGTTGGTGATGAATGCTTCGAAATGCATCAAGGCACGTGTGTAGGCCTTACAGTGRAACGACGCTGAAGCCAGGACATCCTTAAAGACCAGAATATTTGTCATTATTCTTGCATCTCATGATGACATTTCGATGTTGACGGAATGAAATTTAAAAGATTGGCATGGGTGGCATTGTGGTTTACCGCTCGCCTCTCACCACTGTGGTCCGGGCTCAAGCCCTGGCTCAGACTGTATCATAATGTGAGTTGAGTTTGTTTAATGTGTTGTTCTCTCCATTGCCATGAGGATATTTCCCCGGTTACTACAGAGTACACCTACCTGAGGGATTTTCTGTAAGAAGCCTTGTATTGTCTCGTGTTCGTTCTGAGGACCTGTCAGCATATATACAAAGAATTAGGTCAAGATTTTAGTTGAAAACTCAATCCAACGAAGGAGTCTTAGACTAACTGATGTGGTACAGACAAATTTTGCTCATTTAAATGTTTTTACTTTAAAACTCAATCCAATGGAGGAGTCTTCTAGACTGACTGATGTGATACAGACACATTCATGCTCATTAAAAGCACAGAACAGCCCTGGTTTTCTTACCCTTCATCGTGCTTTGCCGACCACCCTTACTGTTAACCATCTGAGTCTTGACAGCAAATGAATGAGCCTTTTTCCTTGTCCAGCGGTTTAGATAGTCCAAAGCCGAGAAAACTGTTTGTGCACTCATGTGACCAAAGTCTAGAATGAAAGACAAGAGTCAAAGGTATTACAGACTTCTAACTTCCCACACTTTAATCCCTGCTTCAAGTCTAAGAAATTAAATCTTGCTGATGATACAACTTCCTCTATCTGGTCACGTGACTGTACTCCGTAATTCGCGAGCATTTGTGTCAAAATAWCCAGCAAATATGAAGAGCACCTCGACAATAGACCCCTTGCACTGAATTCCTAGAGGAATTGTTCTGGAGGACAAAACAATAGGGCATCTTTTCTTRTGCTAAAAACAATCCAATGTTTTGTCCCCCAGAACAATTCCTCTTGGAACTCAGTGCAAGGGGTCTATAAGTAAGAAGGTAGAGTTTTAATCTATTAACATGGGACATAGAAGATTGAGAAACTTTTATGAGGATTTGAATGGGTAATAGTGTTTGTTGGGGAAATATGGCGTACAAGGGTAGGGTCAGGAGAGTTGTTAGTACAATGGCGTTTTTGCCTTGAGCACAAAGTCCTTTCGGATTCAAACAAAGGAAAAAACAGTTGGATTAAGATGTTTGCTTGTGTCATTTATGAATATCAAGCCATCTTRTAATCAACAGAACATCTAACCTGAGGCTCCAACAGGAAGATCCTCACTTTTCTGCACGTGAGTCAGAACAGCCATGATCTCAGCATGGATCTAAAGGGGAAATAACGAAATGTTTAATAATAATAACTTTAATTTAAGGCGGAAAGCACCTATATAGCATGAGACGTTRATCATAGTGGCCCTAAAAAATAGTAATAATAATGATAATAATGAAAGAAATAATYAATTTTAAACAGAATTTGTAGAACGTTTGGTCATCCATACTACGAATTTTACAGCAACCAGCAGTTGTTGTTGCGTTTGCTATTGCTTCCCTGCAGAAAGTATCAGAGAAGCAGCTAGTGGCAGGGCACGAAATTAAGTTTTAAACACACTAGCAAAACCTTGCTAGTGAGTTTTGTTCTCATTAGCAAAAATTTCAAAGTCACTAGAAATCGGACGCAGTGAATAACAAGCTTTACTTGTTGCAGGCTCTAAACTTTTCAGTCCTACAATTACTGGACTGTGGTCATACTCGCAAAACGTAGCTAGTTAAATTTTTTGTCACTAGCTAAATACAAAATTCCACCCACATTTTGCGAGTTTGCGAGCGTTAATTTCATGCCCTGAGTGGTAGTGATGTTGTTATAGTTGTTGTTCTTRGTGATGTTGAAGTTATTTTGTTGTAGTATGCCTGTATTAATGTRTTAGTCAGCGATAGTGATAGTAGTTCTAGTAGTAATACTAGTTGTTATAGTATAGAGGTTGTTGTTGTTGTAAGTGATGTGTTCTTGCTATTGTTTCTGGTTGTGCTACACCGATGTAAGAAATATCTATGTAAACTAGTACTCCAATACAACAGTACCTCATCTATGTCCTCCTGGGTTCCATCGAGTAGAGCATACAACATGACGTGGGGCAARAGGAACAAAGCAGTGTGGATGTCATGCTGAAGTAAAAAAAAACATTATTACCATTGGTTTTCGAGGTTGAATACTACTTCAAAAAGACCCCTAAAGACTAAGGTAGGCCATTTTTGGTGTAGGTATCACTACAAACGTTATTGGAATGTCTACCATTGGAGCAAATTTCGCATGTCTTTCAAAACTCATGGCAAAAGTCACAGTTAGTGTTACGGCAAAGGTTCGAGATCACGACCATTCACTTAACCCGTTATGACGCGCTAACTTATTGCTATCTTGTCACATTGCCCAGGCGCTTCGCCGTCACGGTAACGGTACGTCTATATCGTAAGTTTTTCGCTCACAGAATTTGCTCTTTATGGTAATGTTCATACGAAAGATGAAGATTAACCTTRTTATTTTATCGGTACCTTGAATATTTTACTACAGGCTTGAAAGATACGAGAAGCCTTTTCTTGTTTGACCTGAAAAACACAAGAAATTTATGATTTTTTTAAACCCTGGGCTGAAAACCCCAAATTCAAGGATGAGACCCAACGAATTCTGCTGACATTTGATGGAATTGAATTTCCAGGAACTGCGCGAGACCCCAGTAGAGGGAATGAGGTGAGTGTTATACAACTATAAAACTATCTGCGTCTGGTCAGTACAAAGTTTATTTCCCCGCTTACTAACCTTTATAATGATGTAAGATGTCCACGTACTGGCCCATTCACTAAACGTTTTCCCTTTAGCGCTACGGTATATGGGTTTGGGTAAGCGAGACCAATTGGGATTCGCAGAGCTCAAATACCTGGACAAAGAAGTAGGCTTGATTTGAATAAATGTTGTGGTCTGGCATTCGCTAACCAYGCAAAWACAAAGCAGGACATGTACATCCCARTGTTGCAAAAGCATGTAGCGCCAACACTAGACAAAAACCCCTGCTCATTGGCGAGTCTCTTCGAATGTACAAAAGCCCTTGTGAATATACTTTGAAGAGACCAAGATTTTTTTTCTTGTTTTTAGAAACACAAGAAAAAGGCTTAAGCAAGCGGGTTTCCTCTGGTAAGGCGATAGATAACGAATACCTCAAAGTTTGCCATTATATATYTTATAAGCGTTAAGCGGTGAGGAATAAAAAATATTCAAGGGAATGAAACGTGGTCTGAAATATAGGAAAACATTGGGTGTAAACATATGATACGTTTCCTGTGTTAAGGAATAGACTAGTAATGCCCAACCCTGTCCAACATGTCATTCAAAGGCGACCAGTGAATAAAAAAGATAMTMAAGGGAATGACACGTGGTCTAAAAAAGGAAAACAGTGCATATGAAGACGGGAAATATCGTTTGTAAGCTTACTTTGAGTAAAGGTGAGGTCGTAGGATTTCTTGGATGTGTTCTGGAAACTTACGCCATAATTTGTAACCAGCCCTGGAGAAAAAAGATTGAGAATGAATGCATATTGCTGTGCTTTTTAATTGGTTCGCGCAGGAAGCCATTCAGAAGTGACGGTATCGGTCCCCATTGAACCAATCAGAAGTAAGACATTAACTAATAGTTATTCAATCAGAATGCTGCGTTATAGAAGGTCTCGTCACCTATTTTTTTTTTTGCGGTCACGAAGTCTGCACAGTACGATCTCGATAATGGTTATCCAATCAGAAAGCTGCGATATGACACATTGACGTCATGTCACGTCATGTCACGTAAGTTTAGAGCGGTTTTTTTCGTATAAGTGGGAAAACGATATGGCAATTTCATAGCGGAACTTAATGGTACCGTATCTTACCCTAGCCGTAACTACGCGATGTGATTGGATGAATTAAGGAAATACAATGGGAAGCATGTCGTGTCTTGTACTTGCTGTAAGTTAATACCATGTTTCCCACTCATACAAAAAAAACCCCTCAGTTCTACACAGTTTCTAACAACGGCACAGAAGGGATGTATAGATAGATGTATAGATGGATGATCTTACCCATCTTTCTTTGTTTCTGTGCAATCGAATACTTGTAGGACTTCTTGTATGGCATAAGCTGAGCAATCCTGTCAATGAAACAAACCCTGGTCAAACTGATTCAAGAAAATGTGCGGTGAATTACTTCAAACAGTGGTTGCTGGCATCGTCAAAATACAGAGAAGAAAGGTGAGAGTTACTGGTATGGGCTCAGTATGATATGTGAATTGAGTCTGAAGCGTTTGAAGTGTTTGTTCTCTACCCTGACTTGAGGGTTTTTCTATGAGTTCTCCGGTTTTCCTCCCTCCTCAACACCAAACAAGCTAAATCCCAATTCGATCTGTTAGTTAGCCATGCCCTTAATTTAATAAGTCCAGATGTCGTTTCAGGGTATCAATAAAATATGCAGGTTACTCTTATTATTTATTTAWTTAWTTATTTATTTATTTATCATTCATGTATTCCTTGTTAAGATTACTGATTTACCTGTGCTCTCGTGTCGTGTGCAGCAAGGAACGCTCTCGCCAGCTCGTTAATCAATCCTTCTGCAAACTCCATGTCATCACAGCCATTCTACATGATATTCAGAACGCATTAGATAAACTTCAAAGGTGCTCTTTCGTGAGGTTCCCTTCACACTACTAGTGACTACRTTCACTATCTACATATGCTTTAGGGTGGAGTGCCACGCCCATTTAAGTCGGTTGTTAGCGCATGCGCACTGCCTGGTTTCTTTTTTACCTCGTACACTGGTTTTTCATCAACCGGCACTTGTGATAGCTCTTCCAGTCTACAAAA